AAATTATGAACAGATCTTATGAAAGCATCATCACTTTCAAGGAAGATTTGCTTGATGTATCAACAAAGTAATTGTTCAGTTAGGTTGAGGAATGAGCTGTCAAGTGCTTTGGCTGCAATGACAGATACAGGAAATAGAGAAGTTCTGTAAAACTTGAATTAGGTGAGGAAAGAGATCTTGTTGAGGAAAGTAGATGTTTTTTTGTTTGAGGCCAATTACAGTCTTATCTTTTTGCTGTACTTGAAATGGAACAGGCCTACAAAGGGTTAGCTAATAGAGGCTCTTGATACTACTTGGAAAGAAGAGGTTCATTCAAAGCAGGAAACTTGCGTTTGAGTGTCTTGAAACTCTCTAAATGTGCTTATCTCTCCCTGTCAACTGTAAAGGAAGTGTAGAAAGATTAGCTTTCGTAGACTCTGGTTATTCTTTGTGAATATTGCTGTAAGTGTTAAGATATTTATCTCAAAAGCCTAATTTCGGTATAAACTCATCTTGAACTGCTGCTTTCCATTTTTTATGAGAACAGTCTTTAAAAACTCTGTCCTTACATTCTCAAACCTTCCAGCACATTGTAAGTTTTTCAAGTCAGCATCATAGTTCATCAAGCTGATAAATGTTACATGACTCTGTCAAATTACAGTTTATTGAACAGCAGGAACTAAAGATTTAATCTGAATGAAATTTTGCTATTGTCACTGGGCACATTGGGTCCTTCAGTTAATTCTGAAATCTGGTTCCCTAGGTAATTTGAGTGAGAGCTGCATTTAAGGTGCCTGAACTGACAGCACTGATTTTTGAGGTTTTATTCTTCCTGGAACTGGGAGGGCACCATCCATAGATATTGATTTTTATGCAATCTTCTGGTCTGTTTTATTGGTTTGAAGATTTTTGTTACTTTTTTTGTTTGTGTATTAAATTGAACTCAAAATAGAGTACAGCTAGTAACCATTCTTTTCATAAAATAGATACCAAATCATGTCTGAATCTGTATAGATGAGGTAAGTCTGCATGCTCCTGTGGGCTCAGTGAGACATTAACTCACTTTTCTTTTGCTTGCCAGGAAGATTTTTAAAATCTTCAGTGTAAGAAATCACAAGTCTGCTGATTGTAGAGACACCTGATAGCTCTGTGCCAGCCACAGAGATTGTGATGCTTCAGCCATCCCACACGTGCAGTGTGCACAGAGCATTGTGCCTGCAGGTTATGTGCAGAAGCAAGATGGCTTCTGCATTCACTGCATTTTTATACACACAAGGATTTCACTATGCCACTTTAATGTGTATTGCACCTATGTTAGGTAATTACATTGTGATTTAATAATTTTTCTCAATTGTTTCTTGCTAAGACTGTCCAATCTTGTGGCTGCAACCTTTTTTCCAATTGCCTAAATGATTGTCTTTATGTCAAAATGCATTCAATGCAAAAACATTACTGAGTAAATGTAATAAACCACAGTATTTAGACTTGCATGGAATACAGCTTCTAATTGTGGGTGGTGCTCTCCTGGTTGCAGGGAGTATAGAAGTTCAGAAAGCAGTCCTGTGAATTTTAGTATCATAAACATAGTTCATCTCAGTTTTAAAGTGTTTAGTATTATTTTTAATTAATAATAAATGGGGAGTAACCGCAGTAAATTATTATATGTATTTAAAACACTTAATGGTATTTAAATACATTTTCCTGGACTGCAACTGTTTTCAGACATGATTCAGGTAATTTCCTTAAACCTTACCTTTTCTATTTCATTGTGCCTGCCTGATCATTGTTGATCTCCAGGGGCCTGCAGTGGGAATCATGTTCGTTGGAGTTTTCTGCCAAGTAGGAATATGGATTTCTTTTATTTTAGTCCATCAGCTGGACTTCCTGTTAATTAATTCAGGTTTTAAAGCAAATAAGTATGTGATATTTAGCCAAATATGTTGAAAAAACCTAAGTAGGGTGATTGCTGCAGGTAGTTCTGTTAACTAATCTGTAATTATTTCAAGAAGACATATTTTGCTTGGCAGTAAACCTTGAAATCAAGGCATTTGCTATGTTTTACATAATTTATTATTATGGTTTTATTTTCCAAATGTTACCTGAATTTAGCAATGTATCATTGGCTTTTGATTTAATCTTTTAATCTCTTTTCTCCCTTATCTGCTTTCCCTGTGAATGCGTTTTTAATGTATTATTACAAAATGTTAAAGATCCAAGTTTTTCTAAAGCTGATCTCACATCTGATGTGTTACTGTTCAGCTTTTTCTCATTACTGATCTTCAATTCTCTTTTTTTGTGTCATTTGTGATTTTGTGCTACTGCTGCTGCTTTCATATTCTTTGAAAAGGCTGGCTTTTTGTCCAGTGTTCATTTGTGTGTATGTCCATATACAATCCTCTTCTTTATGTTCATTTCTGTGGAGTTACCTTCTGATGTCTTGTAACAATACTGACTTCTATGCTCACCACACCATGTAGTATCGTTATTGTTATTTATGCCAGCAGTTGCTTTGAGCTATGAAAAATGCTACAGAAATTCAGATTTAGGTATTACTCTTTGTCTTGTTCACAGATACTGTGTTTATTTTTTTTAAATAAAAACCTTAACAAGCAGTGCTGCATATTATTGTGGTGAAAGGTTAAGTTGGTGTGTTTGACTAGGTGATCACTTGAGGTTTTGTCAGCCTTGCCTGCTGTGATTTATAGGATGTTGGTTGTGTGAGACCAAGCATTTGATTGTTTAAGAATAACATTTTTAGAGTAAAACCATTTTATCTGGCTCATTCTTCTTGCTATGAAATAAAATTTTATAGTCTTACTTGATATTCCGATTGTCCATTCTACAGTCTGAAAAATCACCTGTAAATGCTCACTCTTCATTTTTACTTGGCTCTTTTTGCTTCATGTGTTACAGACAAATGTCTCTCTGAATAGCAGTGCAAGCAGATACTGCTTTTCTATTGTCTTGGTTTAACTTGCTTGTGTCTAATACAGTGTAAGTCAGATTTAATCTTTAGCTGTGATTGAAATAATCACAGTGCATCTTTCGTATCTTGAGTTCACATTATGTCATTTGGCTTTGCTGTAAGGGTTGGAAAACATTTATCTTTGCACTCATTTATTTTGGTGGAGGGAATTGATATCCTTGAGATTCTTGCCACAGTATGCAACAGGTTTGGACTCTGAAAGTGTGAAGCACCTTTCTATGTAGGTAAAGTCTTCCTGTGTAAGTCTGGATTCCTTACTAAGTCAGGATAAACTAGATTGCTTGCTTCGCTGGGTTTTTTTCTTCTTGATTTAGTAACTGAGAGGAACTGTGTCTGGTTATTATAGAAGTGTGTGAGAATGGGCAATTAGCTCAGGGTGTCTGAAACAGCTGCATCATCAGCACGGCTTACTTGTCCTCAGGCTTTGTTTCATTTGCATTGACAAGGCCACCGAGGAAAGAAAATATCCAGGTGATTCTTGGAAATTGTTTTTAGCTTTCTCAGATTTTGAAAGACTTCCAGACTTTGGAAGGTGGCTGGTGGGAAGTGAATCATGAATATGAATCAGCATCTCTCCACCCTTATATACAAAATGCTGTTGCTAGGATATTCTTCTTTGATGATGTGATAAGAGTGTAGCAAACATCTTTTTGAAATTCACCCTGCCATCCCTTCTTTAATTACATTCAAATTCAGGCTGCTTGTGTCTCTCTGCAAGACCTTGACATAATTTTATTCTACCTTTGCATCTGCTCTTTGTGTTTGCGGCCTTTTCTTCTCCTGAGTCTTTCTCCGAATTTCAATTTTTTGTTTTTGCTTCCGTTTTTTTTTGTCTTGGATTGTAATCTACTCTTGTGTGTGTGTTACGCTTGTGCTGCTTTGCAGCTAGGGATTAGGGTATGCTTTTTACTGAATTTATATAGACTTCTTTGAAAAATGTTGAATTTTGTTATCTTATTTTTAGTCACTCTCCACAACCACCCTGTTGTTATAATCATTGTGAAAATGATCAGTTAAAAACAGAAGTCTTTTTCCATTTCACAAGGCGAATTCATAGAGGTCTTAATAAAATTGGGTCTGAGTCATGTTTCTAATTGAAATTTTAATGTTGTTAGCTTATTTTTAAAGTAACATTAAATGCTAACACAAAGGTTGTTAAGGTCACTGATTATACTTTGTATTTGAACTGAGAATTTTGGTTAAAAGGGGCGATAAAATAAGAAACATAATTTATTCAGATAAATTTAATTTTCTTAAGGTTTTTTTTTCTTTAAGGAATAAAGAAGTGATGGGGAAAATAAATGGATGCTTACTTATTAGCTTATGTTCTAGTGAGACATATCACAAATCAAGGCTAAAGAATGAGTTGTTGTAGCTGGAGGAACTTGAAGGAAGTGTTTTTTTCTTCAGCCCTATGTGAGCCCTTAAGCTCAAATATCTTCAGCTTCCAAGTTTGGCTTTTTTCAGCTAGGTTGAGGAAGAATATCTGGGATATTTTTGTTTGGAGATATAAGTTGGTTTTGTTGTCTTCAGGTGTGGTAGAAGATTTAAAAAGCCTCACAGAACTACTGTATTTCTTTGAAACACTTACAAAGAAATATTACAGAAGCGCCTCATCTAAAATCATGAAATACATTGTTATGTTTAATGTATTGACAGCTAATTAAAACAGACATTTTAATGAAAATTACATTAGCTCTCATTTTAAGACAGTTTGATCAAATACAGAATTAAAAAGATGTTTAATAAGCACTTTAAGTGAATAATTTTTTGGAAGATTCTCCAAGACAACTGCTGATACAAAAAACACAGCATAGGAAATCATGTAATAGATGTTCTGATTTTTTGGACTCTTGGGGATGCAAAAGCTGTTTTCTCCACATATAATATGTGTCTTATGCAAGCTTATTTGTAGTTTATCTGTGAGTTTGCTATGTAGAATCTTAGAAGAACTGCCTATAAACAATGAAAAGTTGACCATTTTATATGGCTTTGACAACTTTAGTAATTGTGGGGTTTTGGTTTTGCTTTTTAGGAAATAAAATAATGCTAATGAAGCAACCATTTCTCTGAAGTTTGAGTTTTCAGACTCACTGCCATAATGGGTAAGTCTTCTGTGTAACTTACACAAAAATTTACTACAATTCCTGGAAAACATGCTTTGGCTGTTTAACATATTGTAACATCTATATATGAAAGTCAATGTTCAGCAGCTTCACTAGTGTTGAAAATATTCCTTTTGTGGTTTTTTGGGGTTTTTTTTGTTTGTTTGGTTGGTTTTCCTCCTTCCGTATAATGTAGTACTTTTCCCTCATTTTTTTTTATTCTAAAACTGCAGTGCTGAGGGCAAACAAAACAAAAAGTCATAAACACAACATCGCATTCAGCTCCACGTTCACAGTTCTTGTATGTGAAATAAAAGGTGTTTGTCTTCAGCTGTACTTACAGATTCAAGTTTAGGAAATTTACATTCATGGTATTAGAGTACTGAGCAATACTTACTGTGCTCTTAGTGGTGATGGGTGTTAGAATCAAACTCAAAACATAAAATCTACATATAAGAGTTTTATCTTACTGCCTTGTGTCATGACAGTGCCAAGCCACCTCTGTGCAGATGGTTTGACTTGTTCTACTTATGTGGCACATTTGTATTACTTTAAATTGTATGTCAGTTTTTCAAGCTGTGTGTTTTTAGTGAGTTCACCATGTTGTTATTGTAATAATTTCTTGGCGCTCCCTCTCCAGAAAATCCCAACAAACCAACCACACCACACGCATTTTCGTATTGCCTTTGTTTATCTACTAATGTTTTGTCAATTTTTCCTAACCTTATGCTTAATAATAAAAGTTGCTCAATCTAGGAATACAGCACTCTTCAGATTTCTGACATTTTGTGTGAGAAATGATTGTTGAGTCATATTGGATATTTAGTAACTTTAGATGCTTTGCCAGAGTACTTTGGTTTCCTTTGTATAAAATATCCAATCCAGTAACCACTGGAAACTCCAACGAACTGCTAAAGCATTATTTTCTCTTTTGCATTGCTGAGCACTGGAATGGGCCATAACACAATAAAATAGTTCAGCTGTTTTAATTGTGGCAAATTTTGAAGTGTGTTTTAGTGTGAGAAATCAATAGCTGAGCTGCAAGAACACCTTTAGTTTTGCTATTAAATATTGCTGGTAAAACTTGCTGTTGTAGATTTCCATATCTTAGTAGAGTTATGAATAATGACAGCATGAGTGATGATCAAAGTTACTCATTTTCAGACCAGCCTTCCATTCTATAAGGAATCTTTTAAATTAGAGCACTTAAATTTCTTTATATGATAAATATATTTGGTTATATTTTAATAGAATGAAGGAATTCTCGTTGTTGCTGAATATTTGGGATGCTTGCTTGCTGCTTTTAATGCTGAGCTTTTCTCAGGTCCATATTTGAGAAATCCAGTTCTTTGTAAATCATAGCATTTAGCAATGAATTCTTCAACAAGCATATCCATTGTGAAGGAGCATGAAGGCACACAGTCAACACCTCTGGAGATAAATTTTGTTGTCCAGTGTTCTAGATACATGCTGAGTGCACTACTATTGCTGTAGCAAGGAATTAATATAAAATATTAGAAATAAATTACTCTTAGTGATGGATGTACAGACTTTTGAGCTCCGAAGCACTTTCCTGTCTAAAGGAACATCCCAGTTCTGGGGCAGATTTTGTCTATCAAGACATCAGGACATCACAGCTGCAGCAGATTGTCAGGATTTAGGATTTTTTTTGTCACTTTGAACCTAATTTATGCATTCCTGCCCCTAAATTATCCCCTGGGTTCGAAGCTTCTGATTGTCCATGTGAATTCTTCCTTTAAGCCCTAAAGTCCTCTGTATTTTCAGTCCTGGAAAAGTTCTGTGGTGTTTTATTTTTGGTTTGTTTATTGTTTTTGTTGTGTTGATGTTTTTGTTTTGGATTTTTATAATGCTCCATGGGCTATCAGCTGATGCTCAGGCAGTTGAGGTGTTCATGTGGGAGTTTGTGTATGCCTCTCATGGGCATGATCATACCTGTTCAGGACAGAGGAGAAATAGTTCAAAAGAACTTGCTTTTTATTCTTTATTTTATGGAAAGATAAAATGGATATTTTATCTCATCTATGGATATTGTTTGAATTGAAATAGGCAAGGCTTTCTCCTGCATCCCCTTTCTCGTATTAATACAGCCTGCAGCTGTTTAAAGTATAATCTTTGTTATGACTTCAGTTTTTTTAAACTTGTTATTGAATTGAGGTTACTGATTAAGCTATTTCCTTAAGCACTGTTAATGATAAATAAAATAAAAATGTTTACAATGTGGCAACAATTTTTTTTAAAATTGGTGTTTATGAAGTGTAATTTATTGAAGTGTAATGCAGACTCCTAGATTTTAGACTAATGCCTGCCTAATTGTGAAATGAGAGAGTAGTGCCCTCAAAAGTAACAGTCTTTTACACTTGTCTGGTCTTTTTCTCTGAGCAGATGAGCAGCAAGCTTTGAATTCAATCATGCAGGATTTGGCTGTGCTTCATAAGGCCAGTCGTCCTGTATTGCCCCAGCAAGAAACAGGAAAACCAAAGTCATCTTCCCCTAAAAAACAGGTAATCTTCAATGTCCTCACCAATGTACTGAACATGGAGTGTCCTGCTGGGACTTCTGTAATTATTTTGCTTGCCAGACCAGTGAGCATACCAGAATGAGCTATTAGTCTCCCACGTGTGCTGCCATTTTCTTTGTTCATATTCTTATATTAACAGCAAAATGAAATGGTGGCATTTCAGAACAGATCATGGTGTGTGCTTAAGTAAGCAAATTGAAGATTATAGAGGTATTTACACCACATGTAAAGTGATTTTATATTTGTTGTTATTATTATATTGGAACTATACTATTTTGAAATATCAAGGAATAATTCTATAGGTTTAGTAGATTACCCAAATGTCACCTATATCATACCAAGAAAGAGTGTCAGTTCAGCAGCAGAAATATGCTTAAAGTCTTTCACTGCATCTTTTGCCTCAATTTCTTGTTCATGCAGCTGGAAATAAGAGTTCTTTTCAGCTGCAGTTTTTTCTGTAGATACTGAACACAAATAGAAAAGTAGTAAATACTTAATTGATAGGTTTGAACTACTATATGGAGAGATTAGGAGAGGATGTAGACTTCTACCTAAATTGAGTTAACTGTATGTTTATTTGATTTGATCCTTAATTTACAGTTCAATAAACTTCAGTTTGTGTTAATTTAACCTTTTAAAAATGAAAATTTTTGGATATATTTGGCTCTTAAACTGTCAAAGCCAAATGTCTACATAATTTTGATTCTGTGCTTTAAAAGTTGTTAGAGTTCAGTCTGTAACACTGTGGTGCTTTGCTACTGTCTTGAAACTCACATCTGAGCTGTGACTTTAGATGTTGTGGTAACATGCACATATGATCCAAAATGATTTGAGTATAATCTGTGTTTAGAAAGCTAGAAGAAATGTTTATCACTGTTTCAGTTTGTGGATTTTGAAAGTAATCATATGAAAATCAGTTCTTTTGGAAGATGAAACACTGTTACTTCGATCAACTTTGTGGTTGAATGCATTATTGTTTTTCCTGCAATAGTTGCTAATACAATTTGATTACTAAAGTTATGATTTTGCAAAGCAATGTTATTTTTTGTTAACTGCAAGTATATACAGAGATGGTTATTGGGAGATGTATTGCATGACTGCTGGCTTAATTGTGTGCCTGGGTTTCTATGGTAATGCTTATGCAACAAGATATGTTTCTTAGGCCTGGAACTCTCAGCTGCAAAGTGTACTCACAAACATGTTATTGATAGCTAAATCCATATGCCTGTTCAAGATACAGAATTATTTGGTAACCACATCCACATTAAATTTGAAGTCATAAATATGTTATAATATTAACATGTATTGATAGAAAATAATGTGTTTATTTACAAAAGCATTCATTGCACTTCCAAATAAGTTTTTGTACTTTAACACTATAAGTTATTTTTAACATGTTTTGGTTTTGAACTCTTTAAGCCTCTGTCATGGACCTCAGCAGATGTAGCTTATTAAAATACTTGATGTATTGGAAAGGACAGAAAATTAATATGGAATTTAGTTCTAGTGTAGAACTATTGGAGTTCATTGACTTCATCAAAAGAGGTAATAACAAACTCATAGTGATTCCCTTATCTCTTTTCTTACAGAATGATGTTAGAGTCAAATTTGAGCATCGAGGTGAAAAAAGGTAAAGAAACAGTCTTGTCTCTTTGTTTATGGTTTTGTTATGCTCCTGTCATAAAGTATCAGATTAACAGTTTGAAGTGCTTCAGATCTCTAAGATTTTTTGTTTGAGCTTAAATTTAATTTTTATGAACACAATATAGAGGGAATTTACTGTTTAAAATGTTTAAAATCTGGCTTCTAATTATGCAAACACCTAAATATCATACTGTGACTATGTCCAATGTAGTATCCTTCATTTGGTTACACTTCAGATAGATGTTTGTAGTCTTGTATAATTACTTAAGTTTTTAAAATAGATCGCAAGTTTGAGTAGACCAGAAAATATATTTTTGTCCTTCATTGTGTGTGTAATAAATGTGTGATAATTTATTTTTACTGTAATACCCAGAGGAGGAGGTTGGATTTTACTTCAGGGTTGCCAGTCTGACAACTGTAAGAGGAAAATTTATTAGACTCAAATTGTTTTCATTTAATCAGTTAAAATTTATTTACATTTTGTTTATGAGAGGTGGATGATCCACCTGCTAAAGTATACAAACATCTGTCTATATATAATCTCTTCTCTGGTGTCTGCTCAAAAGCTTTTACAGAATTGGATGTATAATTCCATCCAGAACTGGTTTGTTGACAATTCATTTTGCCTGTCTCTGAAAGTATCAGATTTCATTCTACTGATAGACAAATTATGATAGAATAAGATCTTTGAAAATACTTACACAAAAAAGGAAGTAATATCCTGGGCATGCTATTTCTCAAGAGAAATATTAAATTCTTTTTAAATAATTTGCTTCAATAAACCCTATACTAGTTCTGGGCAGCCCTTAGTGTGACTCTCTGGACATCACATGTAGAGGTGCATCAGTAATGATTGAGTTCTCTATATAATTTGGAGGGAATATGTTTTTTTGAAAGTTTTGAGAATTGAGGTCTCATCTACCTAACAATTTCTAGTGAAGTAAGAGGAAGCATGAATTTAAAAACAGAAAAATGTTTACATGCTGCCAGTCTGCACAGACGGTGCATTTTGCTATTCATCATATTTCAGTTTCACAATGGACTAAGTTAACCAGTTCAATATTAATACAAGCATAAAGTAAGTGCATGGAAATATCCCTTTCCCAGGTTTTTATGCTCATTAACCCAGGTCTGTGATGAAGTGCCCCAGGTGACTTCAGCCTGCTTGCCCAGGGGTTCTGGGCAGCCTAGGCTCATTGCTCAGCATGAGTTACAATACGTTGGTTTGCCCGAGCATGTAGCTCTAGTGATCAAGGAAAGAAATCATGCAGGGAAGAAAAGTTATGCAATGGCTTTCTCACTAGTTTTTAAGAAAGGAAGTGAAAAAGAGAAGTGATTCCAGACTTGCTTTCAGTGGTGAATGTGGCACTTTGTTCAAAAGAGTATGTAGTGTGATGGGTAGAGTTGCAGGCTTGCTGCCCAAAATGTTAGCTACAGTGAGAACTGGTGTTTGTTAGGTTTTGGGGGGGTGGTTTGTTTGCTTTTTTAGGGTATTTTTTTAAGATTTTATTTTTTAAAAATAATTTTTAATTGAAATTGGCCTGGTTTTTAGCCTCATTTCAGTGAGAAAAAATGTCCCCCAAACCACCATACTACTAACTGAACTACTGATGAAAGGGACAGGTACCCTTTGCTAACTTTTCTACTTCACAGAATTTGAGTGCTCTTTCTTTTTTAAATGTTAATTGAATGTACCTCAATACCTTAGTCCCTATTAAAAGCTCTTTTTTGTTTAATGGTGTTGTATCTCAAAAATGAAATGGTTTTCTATACTAAAAGGTTAGTTATACATAGTTTGGGCTGATGAGTTTGATGGGACATTGAGTTAAAAGAAAATCTTAAGTTGTTGACCTACAACTGCACCATTCTTACAGGAGCACACTTGAAGCACAGTTAGTGATGGACTGGGCAGTTTGAGTGTGTAGTTCATTATGGTAAAGATGGTGACATTTAGTTACCTTCCTCAGGTAAGATAGTCTTTCGGATTTCCAAAAAATGGGGACTGCAGGAGTAATTCCTTTCTATGCTTATGCTTGTCAGCCTATGGCACTCCATTGTCGTAGTTTTCTAAAGTGGAAAAATGTAGAAGTTTCTAAGAATTTCCCTCAGAAATGGAGGCTTGCACAGCGTTAAGCAAGTAAAATAATTACAATGAAATCTTAGTTCTGTATCTGTTTATCCCTTTTAGATTTTTCACTGCTTTTCTTTCTTTTTTACAAGTCTCAAAATATGGAGGACACGGAATAAAGTATAGCCTCTTACAGTCTTTTTAGTAGTAAATTTAGTTCTGAGATAGTTCTTAAGTAATGAGTTGCCAGATTTTCATAAGTAATGGACAGAAATTCTTTATAACTTAAATTGTGTTTCAGAATCCTGCAATTACCAAGGCCTGTTAAACTTGAAGATCTTGCAGCTAAAGCTAAAGTTGCTTTTGGACAGACTATGGATTTACATTACAGCAATAATGAGGTAATATTCTGTGTCCTCAAAATTCTTACCTTGGCCATTGATCATTTTAAGGCTGAAATTTGCTCTTGTAAGAAGTGGGAACTACCTCTTTTGTACTGTGACAAAACCCCAGATTTCTAATGTGTGTTTTCTCAAACATGTAAGTCTTGTCCGAATTAGGATAGGCAGGAAATGCATGAAATGTTTCATGAGTAGTGTTATATCATAATGATGTCTCTGACTTGTTGAAGAGTGGAAAAATTATCTTCCTGATCTTCCACAGTCCTGTTGTGTGATCTTGGGAAATTCTTTACTTCTTTGAGCTTTGGCATGTTTGTAAATTTGAAATAGCTCTTATTCTTCCTTGTAGGTAATTTTCTTTAAGGATGAATCTTGTTAGGTAATTGCTGGAATGCTGCATTTAGATAATGTGTAGATTGGAGAACTGGGCTTAACTGTTGCTCCTCTGAATTGTCTGGTTGCCAAAGATTTCTTGGTAGCAGGGCCAGCACTGTCAAGCCACTTTTGCCTGATCAATATTACTTCTGGCTTTCCTTTAGAAGTAGGGATGGAATTATTAATAGCAAATGTATTTACAGATGAAGGATCCATTCTTGGGGGTTACATCTGGCTTTTGCCTTGAGTCAGCAAAGTGCATGGAGGCTTACTCATCTGCTTGGTTAAGCACAGTTTAACTGCTGTATGTACCCTGCATCTCTGCAGAAGAAAATGCCAGTGATTGCTCTTTGTTAGTTACTCATTGCATTACCAGACACTTGCATGAAATTGATTCTCAAAATGAAGAATTCCAACAGAAGGTTTTTGGATGTTAGGAAGGTCAGGTGAAATGGCCCTTCATAATGCTTTGGCCTCAGGTCCTTCCACCAGTAGATTTTTAGGCATTTGCATACGTTTTCTGCTTCTTACCTTCTGCACTAGTTGGCAAGTCATCCCATCACCTTTCAGAAATGTGATGGTAATAATGTGTCACTAGTATTAAAAGTGGAATTTAACAAATAAGCATACTCTTCATTTTATCAAGATCTTCCCCCTCAATTCCATCTCTTTTTGTATAAAAGTACTGTATTTAAGCATCATTGACTGAGGCTGTTTTCAAGTAGAATAGATTTAAAAATCTGTATTGTTTTTCCTTTGTTACAAGACGAAGCTGTAATTTACACTCCTGAAACACAAGCCAAATTTTCATTGTTACAGAATTCAGATCTCAATTGCACGTTAATGGCATAATTTTCTGTTCTAAAGATACATGTATGCCAAGTTAATTCTAGTTAATTAGACCCAAGTAGGATTCTAGTGAGGACTAGAGTTGTTGCACGTGGATCACATCTTCTTAACAAATGCTGGTTTTCAGTGGAGAAATTCTTTTAGTGATGCAACTTTTAACAAGTGTATTAGTAACATTTGAGATACAAAAATCTGCTTTATACTCTATGAAATAGGACTTATATTTATCTTACAGACTTTTGTTAATGTAGGCATTGACCCAGTTGTACCTGTTTTGGTGAAACTTCTGGATATTTAAGTTCTATATATGCAAAATGGTTGCTTCTTGTGAAGACTTGTTCTGCTTAGTAGAGGACTCTGAAGGAAGAGTTAAGGTTGAGTTTTTAATACTTAAGAGATCATTTAATAAGGTTTATTTTCAAGTTGTTTGCTATGAAAGGAAACATTCTGTTTGTTTCTCTGCGCTTGAATTCCTCATTTCTTTCTTGTGTCCTGTTTAAGACTTTTTTTCTCCCTGCCCCTTGTTTTGTAGCTTGTAATTCCATTAACCACACAGGATGACCTGGACAAAGCTGTTGAACTACTTGACCGTAGTGTACATATGAAGAGTCTCAAGATACTGCTTGTAATACATGGAAATACACAGGTATGAGCTGATGTGCTAAATGCCTTTTCCTCAGTTTTCATAATGAAATATAATTTGTATCTTTTCTTAAATATGGCATTTTCCCAATTGAATATAATACTAATTGCTTCTTCATTTCAGTTTAAGCATTTTGTACTGACTCAGTTTTAAGTCTTTCCTAGATCCTGTTCCTGTCTTTTTGTTTGCCAACCCTACAGGTGTAGAAAAGTGAACCTTAGTAGAATGATACAAAACAAACAGAGAGAATTTAAGTAATGGTAGTTATTTGAAACTGTTCATTAAGTCATATGTGGGAAGTTCAATATTTGTTGTAGCAAAGACTAGTAGTCTATAGACTAAATGCTGAGATATTTAGGTATTATCTAACCAATCGTGGCATGATATTCATAGGATTTGTATACTGGCATATATTGAAAATGAATTTTAAAGACTATGAATGAGCTACTAAAATAGATGAATTGTGATGTAAATTGGCAAGCTGCTTTTTTGACTGCTTAAAAAATGGAATGTACTGCACAAAGGCTATAATGCTTACAAAGTATTTTTATTGTCAGGAATGTAAAGTAATAACTGCAGGTTGTAATACTTATGCATTTTCAGTCACCCAGTGTAAATAATGTGGAACCCTTGCCCTCACTGGAAGATTTAGATAATACAGTGTTTGGTGTGACAGACAGAAAAAGGCGACTCTCTGTAATAGGTAAGCTGCACATTTTAATACCTTTAATTGTAAAAATGTCTTTTGTCTTTTACTCATCATGAAAATTTTGCTCTCAACAAAGACTGTCTCTTCTACTCATCAATGACTACTACAGAATTTGCATTTGGGGGAGTGGATTTTGAATATTAAGACAAAAGGGTTTAAAATATATATATAATACAGAAAATTATCAAAAAACCCCCACAAGTAAATAAGTGTGTACAGAGTTATTTCAGGGTAACTTAAAAAACTGATGTTTCTGATACAGGAATGAGCTACTGAAAAATCTGCTTATATGACAATGTGTTTGCTTGCTTAGGACCCCCATAGTTTTTTACTGTGTGAGCATTTGTTTAACATACTGATTTTGGGATTGATGTAATCTCTTATTCATGTTTGAAAGTTGGGTGATGTTAACTTCCAAATTTAATTATGAAACTAGAGAGCTTAATTAATTATTTTCCAGACAATTTAATTATATTATTATGCATTTGTTATGAATATATGTATTTATGTTCATACAGACTTAATATTCAACAAAGAAAAACTGAAATTCTCAAGAGCTGGAAAAGATTAGGTGACATGGGTAGATGGTTTGGATTTTGGTTTTGGTCAAAACAAGCAATTTACTCAGCTAGATGTGTGGGCAAATTACATTTCTGTTCCTGGCTAATGAAAATTCTCTTTAATGTCATTGTGGCAACTCTGCCCCAAATTTTTCGTAATTTCTGGATTTTAGATTTTAAATGCTGTACTTAAGTCTTGTATTGCACAGGCATTTGGGGGATTCCCAAAGCAAGAAGTGATGCAGGCAGGTTCAGTGCCTGTGAAGCATTTCAGTAAAGCCTTGAATTCTTGGTTAGTGGAGACTTTGACTGGCCCTTTTCTTTCAAAAGGCTCTAATACTCGTGACAGGAGTTCACCTCCCCCAGGATACATTCCAGATGAGCTGCATCAGGTGGCTCGAAATGGATCCTTCACCAGTATCAACAGTGAGGGTGAATTCATTCCAGAAAGTATGGATCAGGTATGTCTGTGAATATTGAAATTAAAGTTTCTTGCTAAGTTTATTTGTGAAATACTGCTGTTCAAGAAGGATATGGAATTATTAGAAGGAGCAGCAAAAAATTGATGATAATTTGCTAAAATTTGATTGGTTTCAACCTTGACATAAGGTTGTTTATGTCAAGGTTGTGCTGTTTAGTCTTAGGCAGGTCTTAGGCAGAACCTGGTTATTTTTTTTTACTCTGTCTCTTCAATTTTTAAAATATGCTGTTACAAGGAGAAAGATAATGTTCTTAATTGCCATGATAGTTGAGTTAGATAGTGGTAGATACAAGTAACAGCAGAGATGCCAGCAGAAAACATTAGAAAACACAAGCTCCTTTATTTTACTGAGAATGATACATAAGCAGGACCAGCTTTACAACTTTTCCAGGTAATTAAAAGGAGATTTTGAGAAAGGGTTTCGACCTGTCAGAATTATTTGGACTCAGTTGATACTTAAGAGTTGGACTCAGTGATCCTTGTGGGTTCTTTCCAACTCAGGATATTCTGTATGGTAGGTACTGTGTTGGGATAGAGGCAAGGGGATGGCTGTAGGCCTGGCATAAATAAGCTCTGAAAGACTTCCCAAATTCACTTTTTTGGTGTGTAAAGATCACAAATGTATTTTGGTTTTTTTTCTTCTTACTCACCTGCATTGATGTCGGATGTCTGCCCGGTTAGCAAAATAAAAATCTTGCTCTCTGAGTATAAAAAATTGCCCTTCAAAACAGCAGGAAAAGAAGCAGGAATGTAACTGCTCACAGAATTGGCAATGGAGAAAGAGATATTTCAAGGAGGAAAGAAAAATAATGCTGCATACACAAATCAGTTCAAGTTGTTGTTGACATTGGCAGTGTATTTACAAAAGGCAAGAGGCAACAGTTTTTATGAGCTGACTAAATGAGAGACAGATGATAGAATAAAGGCAAGGGGATAGTGCAATTTGTTGCACAATTTTAATGACCGAGCTGAGAATAGGGACTGCATCTCCTACTTTCCAGACCAGGGCTATTCATTATCATAGCCATGTGGTCAGATCCAGCCCAAGTCTGGGCTCATTCCAGGGAAATAGTTACTTTTGGTGGGGGTAAAGTAATTTCTGGTCACTGACTGGTCAGACAGACAGATGGTCCCTGAAGCCTGGGATGTTCATTCACTCCTAATTATTCCAGAAATATATAACCTGTCATGTATGCATTGCTGTGTGAGCTGTCAGCAGGTTTAAATCAATAAATTTTACTTTCATAAGAAGCCAGGTTAGTTCAACCTAAGCAGCCTCAAGGGCCAGTTTGGTGTGATGGGCTCACAAATTCTGTTTTCTCCCCCCACCTACATTGCCACATCACCTTGGCAAGTGTTGGCCATGCTGCCTTTATCTGTCACAGCCTGCCCAACAAAGACAAGAAGGGAATTAGGGAATGGAGGGCTTTGCTCTGCTCTGCTGTTGATCTGCCTGAGCACAGCTATTGGCACTCTGACAGCAGACCCCACACTTTCTGTAAGAGATGAGGGGTTGGATAGAGAGGTGTTCAATATTGTTCAGCATGAGACAAGAGGAATAAAAATGCTGAACCTGTGGTAAGTGTTGTCCTTCCCAGTACAGAGTTCATTTAAGAGTTTGCACTCTCCAAACTCACTTTCAGGACACTGTTTCTTTAATAAGTTCTTAATTGGTGTATGGCAAAGTAGGTACCCAGGACCTTTAAGATGCAGCACAGACCATAAAAATTGGAGGGGTAACTGCTTAATTTATAGCAAAAGATTGTTGTCCAATTCATAGAAAATAATAGATGTTATACAATATATCAAAACAAACTTCATTTTAGGAAGGAGCTGATTTCAAGTCAACAGATGAGCTTTCCATTTTGTTTTTACCAGTTCCTATGTGATTTGGATTTGTTTCTTATTGGCTGTTTTATAGCAACCCCCTTAACTATTTAGAAAAAAACCTTGAACTTGTTTATGTTCCTCTGTTTATTGTTTATTAGATGCTGGATCCATTGTCTTTGAGCAGTCCTGAAAACTCTGGCTCAGGAAGCTGTCCCTCGCTTGACAGCCCGTTAGATGGGTAAAAATTATTTACATTCATTATTTAATTATTTATCTTTATTAGATTGCATAATGTCTCAGTTGTAAAATACAACTCCTTTCAAGTGACAGTGCTTCTTCTAGAAATTCCCTTGGAAGTTACAGAATGTTGATAAAAGCTTATTGAAACTTAATTGCTTACTAATACATGGAAAATACTGTGGTGCTTTTTTCTTTTTTTCAATAATTTATATTTAAACCACAATAATTTAGATTTAAGCTCCTATGAAAATGTACTGAAGATTTTTACTAAATGTTGCTAGGTCTTTCTCATGGGTGGTGTATATACCCTGGCAGTGAGCCACTGCATTAAATTTACAGTTCTTAGGCACTGCCATATGAAGTAGGCTTTTCTTTGCTAAAGCAGGGGGTACCCAATTCAAGAAGATGGTGGAATCATTTACTGGCTGCAACAGACAGTCCCTTCCTTTCCTTTGCAATTACTGCCTGTTCCTCTCCCCTTGTTCCTCTTGCAAATTTTCAGCTGATTTTTCTTTGTTAAAGCTCACCAGTCAGCAAGAGGCAGTGTATGCTATGGGGGGTCTTTTTGGATTGACCTCTGAGAAGACCCCTGTGTTTGGAGGGGTCACTGTCCACCAGCCAAGTCAAGTAAAACAAATTCCTGTTTGGTTTATGGTGGTCAGGCAAATAACCTTGGGTTTAATGTGCAGATTTGCTCTTTGTTTATTTCAAACTGCAAAAGTAATAAAACTGCTAATAAAATTTTTTATTTAACTGGTAGAAAGGTGAAGAGTTGGAGGTCACTGCCTGTGGCAATTAATCAGAGCTGTATTATTCAGTAGTACTATTTCATTTGAGAATATGTGGTTTGCGGACACAAGTAGATTTGGTCTAACAAATACAATTTTGAGTTTAATAAGTCTTCATTTCACAAGGAAGACAGTAGACATGAAACGTATTTTGTGGTTTTAGTGTGGTAGGTTAGATGTACACAGTATTTAATGTAGCTCCATAGAAAAGAAATTTTATCTAATTGCCAAATTTAAGGGTTTTGTGGGGTAGGAGTGAGTGAAAGAAGGGGAAACAAAGCAAACTTAATGCAATTCATATTTCTTCTTCAAAACTCTTTTTGGTTGTTTTTATTTACTTAATTTGTCACCTCTACTTAGTTTGTTTTCCTTTTTTTTTTTTTCATTTAAATATTTCCTACAAAGATGTAGGTTTTGTGTCTCCATTTAGCTTCTGTTACCCATTAGAGAAATTCTTACCAGAAAAAGGAGGACACTGTTTTGGTATGTTTATGGAAATAAACTGTTATCGATTGCTCTGACTGGCAATCCCATCCATTCCTTTTTGTGGCTGGGAGTTACATACCAACTGTAGGTAAGAAACAATGTGATCATGTAAGAACCAAAAAATTCTTCATCATTCTATAACTCAATAAAATCACTCTCTTAATCCTATGACTTTCATGGAGAGAAGAGGAAATGTTTTTTCTCATTAAAAGGTTCTACATTTCTTTGGTTAAATTTCCTCAAGAGTTTTTGTAGACTGTATAACCCATTTTGCCAGTCTATAAACCTTTGTGTTTAGCCATAAAGGTGTTAAACATAACAGTGTTCCTTTGTGGCTGTACTTGTGATAATTCATGTTTTTACTAATATCATTGCTCATTAACAGAGTCTGTTGCTTTCTTACCTACATTAAGCTCAGTGAGCAAGCTTCTCCATTGTTGCTGATCCTTAATTGTTACAGTTGCCTACTAGAATTGAGTTTCAGAATTGAGTTCCATTCTGCAGCAATCTGTATAGCAGTGGCTTTTCATCAGTAAGAGGACAGTAAGCTTAAGTGTGGTTTAACAGCGGATTTTAGATTCTGTGTATTTTTACACTTCCAGGGACAACTATCCCAAGTCTCGGATGCCAAGAGCACAGAGCTATCCAGATAATCATCAGGAATTCTCAGGTAGGCAAAAATCACTGGAGACACACTAGCTTTCCAGAACTGCTCCTCTTGCAAATAATAGGACTTAGAAGGGATGTTCACACTGGAGAAGTATTGTATTACACAAACAATATGGTAGAAGAAAGCAAAGCAACACCAAATGCACACAGTGAAAGATACTTTGAAAATACAAGAAATTTCATGTTTCTTCTAGATTATTGTGTGTGACATCACTCCTAGTGGGTGTAGTGTAACTATCTGCTTCTGTAAGAAGAGCAAATGTACAGTGCATAGGGGCGTGCATACTTAGTTAAATTGGACTGTAATATCTATCTCTAAGTTTTTATTGGGATTTGTTGGGATTTTCCCCATTCCATGTTCTAGTATGTTAATAGTGGGATAGACAGCAATCATTAATTCCATATTCAATATTTATTCTCATGATTTGAGGTGTAACAGAAGCAGAAAAAAAGTCAATCTGGCATAGTCTTTCCTCCTGCCACCACCAGTACTGGGCTTCTACAGAGGCATGTGTAATGTTCCTCTCTCAGAATATATTCCTAGTCATGTATTGCTCAAAGGTTCTGTAAATGCAAGATGTTCTGTGATGTGATGGATTTTTTTTTTCCTTCCACAAATTTTTCTTGTCCTTATTTCACGTTATATAAACTTTCTCAGCATCAGCTGTAGGTTGCAACAGACAGTTGTGCAATTTATTGTGTTTTATGAAGGAGTATGTGCTTTGTAACTTTTTTTAAGGCTTGGGGGTTTTTTTTTGGTTTTTTTTTTCCTGTTACTGTTTTTCCAGTGGATTTTTTTTTGTTTGTTTTGGTTTTTTTATGGATTTCTTTGCTCCCTTTGAGCTGTTGCTTTTCTAGTATATAGGGACCTACATTCCTTATGGAGGAGCAATTTGTATCTTTGATCATCTCTGTACTTCTGAATATTTTCCAGTTTTACGAAAATCTTTGAAATTGAGTGGACCAAAACTTTGTTCAGTATATCTTACAGCATTTAATTTTCTTCTCAGCTAATAAAAAGAGTTCAGCTGCTGCTTTTTTGGAAGTCTCTATCACAAGCCTTTACAGAAGCCTACACTGAATTTCATCTGCAACTTTATTATCCAGTCACGTAGCCTCTTAAGGGCCTTCTCTAATTATTCTGTTGGTTTTATTTCTCAAAGGGATTTGCCACCTCCCTGTTCCTTGTTCTGTACAGAGAATTCATGGATAATTAAACTGCATGAGTTTTAGCCCAGATTTCTATGGACTATTGACTGTTTCCTCCCTTCTTATCTACTTACCGTGTAACCAATTATTTATGCACTGAGGGACTTTTTCCCTTACCTTATACTTTTCCCCCTCAATAACTTTTAAAAGAGGATCTTTTGGATGTGTTTTAGTAATTCAAGCTGTGTTGACTCATTCACCAGTTTTTCATATTTATACAACTTTAAATTATATTCTTTGGAATAGTTTCTCCTCTATAAAGTATTTTTAAAACTGGAGTAATCAGGCATACTGCAGTCCTCCAACATTCTTTTAAGCAAGACGTTGCAAACCACTTGAGCTGTTGAATTCTTGATCCTTTGGGAATTTTGATTGAAGTCCTTTTAGTACTTGTGACTTGTGTAATTTTGTTCTATAAATCTTTTTTCTCTGATGCTTCTGCCCTTCATATCCTCTGATCCGCTCTCCCATTTTAAGTTTGTATTACCAAAGTGAAAAATTTAACATGCTTTTGTCACATTTTAAATTTTGAAATGAATCATTTTATTTTCTAGTAGAGTATGATATCCCAATATTTGAGAAATTTGGAAAGGGGGGGACTTATCCCAGAAGATACCATATTTCATATCATCAACAAGACTACAATGATGGTAAGCACTGCAACAGTTTTATTAATCTGTTTTTCTCATTGGAAAACGTGATAAAATTTTAAGATCTTAATGAAATTAAATGGAAACACTGATGAAATTGAAAGCCTAAATTTCTTCCCCAAACTCACTTGCTAAGCTTCTAATGATTGATAGAACCTCTGAGCAGTTTTATCTCTGGTAAAGTTACGGATTACAGAATTTCTGAGTCATATGCACAACTGTGGAAACGTTTGCTATCTTTGGCCACCCACAAGTCATACAGTATAAGTTTTTGACCTTTGTGACCCTTTTCTAGCTAAAGTAGGTATGTCTGTTTATAATGTCTGGTTTTGCTTTAAGAAATCCCAAGTACAGTGGAGTTCCTGTTAACATTTTCTTAGATTAAAAGAGTAAATAAAATTTAAGAGCAGTGATGTAAACTGACAATTAGTTGATGAAATAAATTGTTGGAATGCACCTGCTGATGCATCAGCAGGCAGCACCTGCTGATGTGTCCACAAAACTGGTTTGGACAGTAATACCATTGATATAAATTTAACATGTGTTAAATTTCTAAAGGAAGTAGAGAGGAGCAGCTGAAGGATTTTCATACTTCAGAGTGTGTTGAGCGCTAGTTGAGAAGAGTTACCAAGAAATGTGTCCCAAGACCAGATGGCTTCACTTGCAGTGTGGAATGTGCAGAGCAATAAATGGAATTATGTTACAGGAATCACAGAAATATCAAACTTGGGCACTGCAAAGTCCAGTTCCTTGCTCTAGAGCAAGATTTAAGGAGGCAATGATCTGTCACACTGCCTTTCAAGTAAACTCTAAATTGACTTGAACAGAGGGCATACATTTCCTTTATGTTATCAACTTCCAAGATAGCTTATCTTACAACTTAACTTTCTCTGTCTCCCAAGACATTTTTCCTGCAAATGGAAATAGAACTAGTTAGTCTATTTTAGCACAGTGAAGAATTGGTCATTGCCCTTATATATCCCTACATCACACACACACACACGCCTGGTTTCTCGCCTTTGTTTTCTTCTTCTGCCCGAGCTGAGGCTTTTCTCATGGCCACTTTATGTATAACACAGGATATAAGCAGAACTTGGTATGTAGCAGTCACATTAATATTTTGCAGAATGACCCTACTTTCTGGTCACCACTCTGACTGCTCTTCAGTCTTTGGTTACATTTTCCTATATAATTTTCTTCATGACGTCCAATTGCTTTACATTTTGTAGTTTCTGCATTAGATTTCTCTTTAACTATGTATATTGTACTTCCTTACTGAATTTAGCTTGTGAGAATGTCCCATTGAAATGGGAAAATAGGATTAGCTACATGAGATAAACCAATTATGACTGGTTTATCACATTTTTATCTTTTCAATGGTGAATAAAACTGCTTAATAACTTGTTTGCATATCTTTCTTGGAATTTAAATTGTCCAGACTAGTATATAAGGCTGAGTCTACTATTTCAGAGGTATTTTATCTGCTTTCTTGAGTCCTCTGGGAACTCCTCCTCTAGTGTAGTACCTAATGAATCAGAGACTCATTCAGTTATTGCTGAGTTCTCTAGGATGAAACTTAATCAAGAGATGCTATTCTAAAAATAGTTGTGTTATCTAAATAGATTAACATAAATTGTATTAGTCATCTGGTTGTAATTAACATGGTGAAGATCAGTGCTCTGTTTTTTCATTCTGATGCCGTAGCTATCTCCAAATTTTGCATTGCTTGTGTTTTGATTTTTAAAATACTTTTGTGGTCTTCCTGTTTGATTCCAGGTGTCAGTCTTTCTCCAAAGTAATTCTTTCTAGTTTGCAGAAGGAAGAGGCTGGCTTGGGCACTACAGCATCGTAAACGTGTATTTTATTCTCCTAAATATCAGAAATTTGGTATTTGCACATTTAATAGAGCAATAAAAGCAGAGGCATGGTTTTCATTCCTCCTCTTATAGGTCTCCAGGTTTTTCAAGCATGTTGATTATATTTCGAAAAAATTTCAGAATTTGGTCCCAATTTTCATCTCTTAAACACAAGATTTTGATTCTGTCTTGTCCTTAGATACATCTGTGATGAATGCTTGTTTCCTTCTAGGTGGAAAGTTCATGATGATTGTAGTCCAGTAAACTTCGTGATGATTGTGTCCTATCCTTTGCTGTGGCAGATCTGAATGAGACGATGTAGAGCTCATAAAGTGTTTGCATGCACACATTGCATTGCAGTATCTTTTTGTACTGTAACTTTTGTGTTCTGTGTTTATCATTGAAGGTCGTAAAACTTTTCCAAGAGCCAGAAGGACTCAGGGCAACAGCTTCCGATCCCCAGTCAGTTTCAGCCCCACTGATCACTCACTGAGCACCAGCAGTGGGAGCAGCGTCTTCACGCCGGAGTACGAGGATAACCGCATGAGGAGGAGGGGCAGTGACATAGACAATCCCACCTTGTCAGTCATGGACATCAGCCCACCCAGCCGCTGTAAGTTCTGCCATTTGGTGAACCCCACTGTAAAACTCTTACTTTTCAGGTATATCATGTCAAAACCTAGCATGCCATCCAAACACATGCCATTAAATAACATGTTTTTATCTCTCTAATAGGTGAAAGTCAAGACTATGCTCATCAGTATTTTTATTGCTTAGTGTACCAACCTCCATGTAGACTTTCATTGTAAAAGTGATTTCTTAGACTTTAGGACCTGAGAAGGATTTTGTAGGTTGCAGTTACTATTTATTTTTGCAGATCTTGGTCATGTTTTCAGTTAAACTGTAAATTTTTAGTGGTACTACTTCATACTTGTGGTAGAATTTCAGGAGCAAATATACTTTGTGATGACTTCAGTAGCTCATACCTTGTAATTATGCCCCTCTCTTTTTTTAAAAAGAAAGCTGTTTGTTTAACATTCTTTTTCTGTTTTTCAAATTAGCTATTGCTAGTTGTTTTAAGGATGTCTAGTTCTACCACAACTTATTTTGTGAATAAGTTTAAGTAGCTCATGTTTTCCATCTTACAGGGAGTTTTATTGATCTTGGTAATTTAGATGGTGAGGTTTAGAATGCACAGTCTCTGTTGTTGAAAGAGTAGTCTTTTAAAAATTATTTTCTGTGTATTCCAGTTTTTCTCGATCAGCTGAATAACAAGCTCATTTGAAAACCAAAACATACTTATATTTTCAGCACCACGAGCTCCAACTAACTGGAGACTTGGTAAACTGCTGGGTCAAGGTGCCTTTGGCAGAGTGTATCTGTGTTATGATGCTGACACTGGACGAGAACTGGCTGTTAAACAAGTGCAGTTTGATCCCGATAGCCCCGAAACCAGCAAGGTAAGTGATACCAAAGAGAGACGTTGGAAAAGGCTCCTGCTGAAGTGGTGGGTTCTAGACCAGGCTCACATTCTTTTCCTTGAACAGGATGAACATGTTTTAAACCATGTTGTGTTAGGAAACCATGTCTTTGTTAGGAATTCTGTTTTGTTTGTACCATAGAAAATTAGTCTGCTTACCTGATTTTAATATTACATCACATTTTAATTTTCAGACAGATTCTTATGCTGTGAAGATGCATAATTTGTTTTGGTGCTGCCTCAGTCTCTAAAATCAAACAATCTATTATGAAGCATGTTCTGAAATAGATAATTAGTTATAGTAACAGGAATTGGACGAAGTTAGATTTATAAGCAGAAAAAGCTTTACTAATATAAGTGTTCCTGAAAACAAATTGCCAAAAAGAAGTTTGGTTTGTCTACGAAGACAGTTTGAGATTCTTACCTATTTCCTGTTTGCGGAATTTCTAGTATTTTGGATGGCTCCAGAGAAAGCACCAGCTGTTAGTGTTTTCCTTTGGTCCATTTAATTATTACAATATCAAGTGCTAATCAAAGGCATTTTTAAACTATAGTGTATTATCCTGGAAAAGTTAAGAATTAATGCTAATTATTCCACCACAAAGATTAAAATGTGTGGTGGTTTTCTGTGTTTTGTTAGTTGGTTTTTTACCCAAGTGGAAGTGTATGACATGTTGCATAATGATCACTGACCTCATCAACATACTGATATCTGCTGTGCTCTGAAACAAACATAACTTTAAGAAAAGAGAAACAATGAAAAACTAGCGAAACCTTCCCAAAGATAATGTATAGAAAATGTATAATTTTGCTTGTTTCTAACTACCTCAGTTTAACATTGATATTTTCTTGTTATAAAATGCAAAAACTTTACATTAGCTGTAGGAGTATTTTGTTGCTTAGTTGGCATAACACTTTAATATGTACACACTGCTCTGCTCGAAAAAATTCAAATCCAAAATCTTAGTTTTACTACATCAAATATGGTTAATCTGTCCTGTTTTGTCCTTTCAGGAAGTAAATGCACTTGAGTGTGAGATTCAGTTGCTGAAAAATCTGCTGCATGAAAGAATTGTTCAGTATTATGGCTTCTTGAGAGATGCACCTGAAAGGACACTCTCAATATTCATGGAGTACATGCCTGGGGTAAGCAAGAGCTCATCCACCTCAGCCTTCCATAGTGTGCTGTGTGATGAGCACCCAAGCATTCAGCTTTGCATAAGTGCACACAGATATTTCAAACTGTCCAAATGGAAACCACCAAAGATGGGTACTGACAAGTGCTTGCAACCTCCTGTCTTCTCCATTCTGCTTGGGTTCTCAGAATTACAGTGGTTTGTACAAAAGCTCTTTGTGTTTGGTTTTGGAATAAGTGGTGCCTGGCAATGTCTTTGAAAAGACAATATTATCATTAGTAAACTCTTAAATCTCCCTGAATTTTATTGTTTTGTTTTGCCACACTTCAAGTATTTCTGGAAAACAAAGAGTAGCTGAGATGGGGGCAAGAATAAGTGCATACAGAAAATAATCTTGATGCTTGCTTCTTGTGTGGCACCTAGTATGTGCTGAACTGCTGTTCTTCTTTGTTAGGAAATATCATAAGGTCAGAAAACTGTAGATTTTCATTTTCTCACCAAGTGGGGTCAGCAGAGCTAAACAAAATGTGCTCCTATAAAAACAGAGGCTCTGTATTTCTGGAGTATCTCTGTATTTCTGAATAGTTACAGCAGTCTACTTACTATGAGACTCCAGAGGGGAAAAGCAGTGTCTGGGCCTTGGTTTCTAAGTGGTGGTGGGGGTTTTTTTGCTTCTTCATTTTTTTGAGTTCTTGGTCTTGTTTTGTGGGATGTCTTGAATTCTTCTGACATTTGGAAAAGTGACAGACGTAATCTTAGCAGTTTGTAACTCCATGTGACAAAGATAGGTTATACAAAAACAGTTGCAAAACTATTTTTGAAGAAGTTTTGATTTAATCTTATTTTAAGCTAAGATTTGCTTACCTATTATTTTTTACCACCCTGTAGGACATGGTGTTTTTTTTCTTGACGATGTTTTTTTTCTGAGTATAAGCTAACCCAAAGGACATGTGTTATGTTCATCCTGAGTGTCACCCATCAAAAACTTCAGGGGGCTGTTCTCTTTCTGTACATTGTAGTGGAACTATTCAGCTGCTCAGCTGCTTGCAAGTTTTAAGGTTAAATCAAGAAGAATTGTAATTTTAAATGTCTACATTTCAGCCATGATGTAATTGAATTTCAGTTGAATTCTGGAAGTGTTAGTGCTTTATGCTTCTGTGCCATAGGGTTCCATCAAAGACCAATTGAAATCGTACGGAGCGCTCACCGAGAACGTGACTCGGAAATACACACGGCAGATTCTGGAAGGAGTTCACTATTTGCACAGTAATATGATTGTCCATCGAGATATTAAAGGTAATGAGAGTTCTGTGCACAGTTCAGTGCTCTTTATTACTGATCCATTTCCAATCTTATGTGAAGCACTAAAATGCAATTAAGTTTGAAATACCAAGATACTGACTTAAAATCAGTGTGGTTGCTTTCCATCTTTTAGTCTTGTCACTTTTGTAACCTGGGGAAGGAAAAATAAGCAACTTTATGATGTTCTAGCAGAGTTCTGCCAATGTTTCTTTAGTCTTCATTTGTAAAACAAGCAGGATAAATTCCTTTGATTTTTTTTTTTTACTATTAATAGCTATAAATATATTGGAGGATTATGTCATTAGAAATAGACTGTGCAGAGAAGAGCATCATGACTTCAGAGTTTAAATTTAGAGAGTTTGGTTTCATCAATTATATAGAAATTACCCAGCACTTCACTGGTACTAGAAATGACCAGCAGAGATCACCTGACTGATCAGACTTATTCCATTTTACTGCTAGGAAGCCTGGTGTAACATCTACTTTTTGTAGACAGGTGCAGGTGACTTGCAAGTGTTGCATAAGCAAGGTGTGAATATGTAGGGAGATGGTGATGTGCAGAATAGGTATGTTGAACACAATGCTCTTGTATTCCGTAATACTTTTACCATTTTTCTGTTGCTTTGTATCAACAATGTTTTGTTCCAAAGCAGGTTGAGATATCACAGTCAATTTGTACATCTTGTGCAGATAACTGTTTTGAATAAATCTATAACATAGTTTGAGGTTTTGCTTTACAATAGTATGGGAGACATTTTCAGTTGTGTGGAAGTTGTTTCCCCATTTCTTTTAATTTGCCATGTGCAGCACATTCCTTATTTTGTCAGGAGGGCTTTACAAAGGGACTGTCCCTTCCTGGAAAGGGCCTGGATGCAAACCAGTGTGAGCAATTCATTATTTTCTGAACTCCAGAACAGACTAGTAAGAATGAGCAGAGAAAGTAAATTCTCTGGCTTGAAATCCTAGGTTGATGTTGAATTGTACCACTGTATCCAAACTTCTTTTACTGTTTCCCACACCAGAACCTTGAGTCTTTTGTGAAGGTAATGCTGTGTTCCCTTCCCTCCAGGAGCAAATATTCTGCGAGACTCAGCAGGCAATGTGAAGCTTGGTGACTTCGGTGCCAGCAAACGGCTGCAGACCATCTGTCTGTCTGGTACGGGAATGAAGTCTGTCACAGGGACTCCCTACTGGATGAGTCCTGAAGTTATTAGTGGAGAAGGGTACGGCAGAAAAGCAGACATCTGGTATGTTAAACCCCTTCTCCACTGAAAAGTGTAATTTCATTTTCAATAGAGAGTAGGTGTTTGCTATCTGAAGCTGCTGCAGTGTTTCATCCTGGGATTTAAGCTGAAGAAGGTGGCAAATGTGAACACTGACAGTCATTTTTGGAGAATCTTAACACTGAAATTTAATTTTTCACATGGCAATTTCTCAGCTCATCAGTTTAAACATCATAAGAGAATCCTTTCAACTGACCTTGCATGAAGTTAGGATTACCAAACTGTTTGTTGGTTCTGGAGAGCTACTGGCTGAAAGCAATATGTGAAACTTTGAAACATCAGTTTGGTCAATGCATTGTAATGAAACGTCAACACCAAAATACCTTTGATGCAAGGCAGAAAATAAAATGCTACTCCTCTAGAAATTGAACACTTCAGAGTGAATTTGCCAGATTTAAAAGGGAGTATAAAAAATAATTTGGTTTAAGTTGTTATTAAATACATAAGAACTAAGAGGGAAAGTAATTTGCAAAAATGAAGGTTAGTGAAACATTGTATATGCCACAGTCTAACATGGCTCCTGCCCAGTGGACTGATGACTTTGGCAATGAGACCCCTTGCAGTGCAGGTGATCTGTGAATACACAGTAATGGGCTGGCAGCAGCAGACAGGCTGGAGTAGTAACACTGTGTGTTTAAAAAGGAACTACATTGTATCCAAACAAAGGCATTACTTTCAATTTCAAGGAAATAGGCTACTTCAGATTATTTAGTGGTTACTCTGATATAAGTGAAAAATAGGTCCACCTTATAATATCAAGCAGTTCATTTGTTCAAATTTCAAATATTGGTTTGAAGGTTATTGTGTATTTCTTGATGAAAACTTAATAAAAACTACCAAAGTTAGACAGCTGTCAGTCAGTTAATCCTTATTGTGCAATGTACCTCTGTTTAAGCACAAAGCTTCTTGCAAGCATCTTGAAAAACATTCAAACTTTCGAAAAATTGGAAAATTATTCCAGCCTATCCATTTTGCAGTATTGTTCACTTGTTATTGGAAGATGCTGATCTTTAAGGACTTCTGGAACAAAGTTTCTCTGGCCATATATATGCCCTTTTACCTTCCTAGATTCTTTAAAATTGTTCCTGAACAAAGATTGTTTAGGAACTTAAAATTTTGTTTGTCCATCTAAATATATTTTTAGTATCCTTAACTAAAAGAGAAGATACCTTGAAAGTAGGGCTTTTGTTCTTCAGCTGCCATATTAAGTTTCACACGATTCACTGGTGATAACTTGTGTATTTCTAATGAGCTGGCACCACACATGGCATGCATGGAGCTTTCCTGATGCTTTGCATTTCTGTTCAGCCTCAAGGAGCAGGAAAGCTTCCAAGTGCAATGCTGAGTGCATGGCCTGCTGAGCACTGGGTGCTGGCAGTGCTCTATGACAGTTAGTATTGCCTGCATAAATATGTAATTATCTCTTCACTGAGGAAGTAGCTTTCAGCCCTGGAAAGTAATGAAGTGGAGACATTTGTGTAACTCTGAGGTAAAGGTATAGCAGTCCATGCTGGTTTTTCCAATGCCTGTTTTGTGCTCAAGTTACCCTGTAGTATTATGTGGACCCTGCTTATATGTGATATTTTAGTCCCCCTTTGCTGTTTCCTATTTTCCTGGGAGGCCATGACTCTGTTGTAACCTGCTGTTTCACTTCTGCCTCTGTTTCAGGAGTGTAGGTTGCACAGTGGTAGAAATGCTCACTGAGAAGCCCCCGTGGGCAGAGTTTGAAGCCATGGCTGCCATCTTTAAAATTGCCACTCAGCCAACCAACCCCCAGCTCCCTCCTCACGTCTCCGACCACGCTCGGGATTTCTTGAAACGGATTTTTATCGAGGCCAAGCTGCGACCGTTTGCAGATGAACTGCTGAGACACACGTTTGCACACTATCACTAACACCTGCCTCAACTCAGCTTGCATCTACTGCATTTATTTTCTATTTGACTGCACTTTTATTTTTTATTTTTTACAAAGAAAAAGGAGAAAAAAAAAGACAAGAGAGAGAATATTCTCTTGAATCTTTGTTTCATTTAGATTGTAAACAATCTAAAATTTGTATCTAAAATGAGAATCTTCTCTTCCCCCCTCCCACCAGGACTAGAACTTTTTGTTTCTATAATGTACTGATGTGGTTGATGTAGATAAAGCACTTTAGTACATATTTGTTCCTTATTTAAAGAGGAAAAAAATTACAAATGCTTGGACAGTCAGGAACTGTGTGACTTTTTCTGACACCGCTGACTGACTCAGGGTGCAGGGAAGAATAGACATGCAGCTAATGGACAAGAAGGTTACTTCTATGTGATTCTTATCTATATTGTAGGTACTTGCAGCAGAGATTTCTAAGTTCTTACTGTATTTTAGCATTTAATCAGCTTCTGGAATGTACAGTTTAAGCAGGAACATGTGGTTCTGAGAGTTAATTGATGAAGCTGGAAGAACTTGGAACTCTTTGTGCAGCAGCATGTCTAGCGGGGACTTCTATGTGACCAAAAGAAAATAACAAAAACGAGCTCAAAACTGATGTACTAGTTAGAGGTTTTGGTGTAGAATTATTGTATTATCTTAATGTGAAAATAATTACAGGTAAACAGATTATGGGCCCAGACTCCTAGAAACTACTATACTGCAAAGGGGAAATTTTCCATGCTAGACAAGGGTCAGCTATTGGATGTAAATAGTTAGGAGAATGCCTCCTGCTCTATCTGCCAAAGAGAACCTCTGTTGCATAAGCTTTGAGGGAGCCAGTTATCTTAGCTGATAAAAAATACTGATGTTGAGGGTCAATTCTCCTCCACAGTCCCATGAATGGCTGCAGGTGAAAGGGAATGACTAATCCTTGTGCAGTATATGAGTTACTGGATTCAGAATGAGCTATAAGAAATATTTGCAAAGCTGTTGAGAGGCGCTAGGATGGAATGTATGTCAACATCAAGTGCCTGAATAATATAAAATTCTTCCCATTCTGCACTAAAAAAAATTGGTTTAGTAATGCAGGTCAGTCATCTAGGATGCATTGAAAATTCCTGAAATAATGTCAAACATCTCTTAACATCAGGAAAGAGTCACTGAGAAAGCTAAGATTCCAGTTATATTTTTAATAAGGTTGCACTGATGAATCCTATGAAGAAGGAGGCACAGCACAGAAAATTGTACAGAGAACAGGCCAAAAGTGCAGAGAGCCAGCAATTAAATAACATGAGTGTGAATATTCCAGCCTGATAATCCAGATTGGTATTTGTCAGATTTCCAGCTGTCATAAAGTGTACGTTAATTACTTTTTCTATTTCTGAAAGAGCATAATAAAAGAATTAAAAATCTGAAATAATGCTTCTCAGCTGAGAAGCCCAGGTACTGATCAGGTGTAGTGAATAACTGTCTTTTCACAATAGAAAATCAGACTCTCATATTTTTGTAGAAGAACAGAGCATAGATAATTTAAAGGGGCATTTGGAAATAAACTATTGGACAACAGAACTGAAATTATGTTTACTGTTTTGGATGATTCATTGCTTGCTTTTGTTGTTTTTTAAAGGCAGAGCAGGCTGGTACTGTTACCCTTGTCCAGTCTGACAAGGCTCTACCTGTTCTGCATCTTTAGAGGACTATCAGGTTTACAAAATGCATGGAGACAGAACAATAAGCTTACCCATTCCCACAGTCACTCACATATGAGATTTCTGAATTTATTCTGCTGAATTCCGTATGTTTTACCAGAGCATAAGCAGGAGTATGGATCTATCCTAACCACTTTACCTGTAGTGGAGTAAGAAAGACTTTTTTGTGGCCATCTCTCCAGAGACTGAGAGTGGTGATTTCTTCAGCTTATGTGAGTATTTTACCCAACTTAAAATTTTCTTGGTCAGGGTACACAACTGTGCAAGGTTTCCTCAGCACAGGAGGAACTTCCATACCAGGAATAGTGTAAAAGGCTGAAAGGAAAGGCAGCTTGTACTGACTTATTTTTTTTTCTCTGTCACTAGATAAAAGCTATGAAGCAGCCTTTAAGAAGAATTGGTATGTACTCTGCTGTAAGGAGCCTTTGCTTTATAAGCAAATTTTAGTGACAGTAGGAATGGGAAGTTTAATGTAGAACCTAATAGTTTATGTAGGTAATTTTCAAGATCATGTAATTGAAATTATTAATTTCAGACTAATAAGGTACCAAAACCAAGGTGAAAATGTATATAAAAATCCATAGTGGTCAGTGATTCCTGAAAAGGTAAGGAAATTTTATATTACCAAAAAAGGACATTAAAGGGAAAATGTAACCAGGTTTATCTGTAGCATTCATAACATTTAAATATACTATTCTAAAGAGAAACTGCACTCTCTGAAGCTTGAAAATTTTCAGAATCTAGTTTTCTTATAATGTGACCTTTCTGTGAGACAGTGCTGGATCATGTATATTGCAATATCACTTCCTTGTTGTGATTTTTAATTACTGAACAATCAAGTTTGCTGCTTTTGTGCCTTTTCTAAAAAAAAAAAAATGGCATTCAGTCATGACAACGGTCAGCATTTTGGAGCCAGGAAAAAAAGCAACTTTCAGAATGCATTTTTCATCATGTCTTTAGCATGTCAGAAAGCTGCCAATGTAAAGATTGTGCTTCTTAAATGAAGTTGACATTTTCCAGTTTGAGTAGTTCTAGTAAAATTTTATAAATTTAACCAAGATTAGTCTTGAGCTAGTTTTTTTTCACCCTAAAGATAATTTCTCTATTGACTTAAATAACTTACAGTAAATCAGATGGTTATTAACACAAATATTTTGAGCTAGAACTAATTATGAAGCAAAATCAGGCTTTTACCAAGAGGTTGTCTATTACTTACCCCTAGTGGGGTAATGTAGTAAAACAACCTATATACAGGGTTTGTTAAACACTTACAGGGGCTCCTGGGGTCATGGTGAATGACCCCTCATTCTAGAATTTGTGAGGTTGCATGGAATTTCAAGCTTTAAACTCCATTGGAGGAGGATTGCAAAGCCAAGGTCCCTACTCACAACTTCTTGTATCCCACTTAAAAAGCCACCAGCATTTTAGAATCATGAATTGGTCTTAATTATTGAATCCAATTATAAAAAAATTCCAGTGAAAGCAATACTGCTGCAGGGATGGTTTGCTTTTCTGTAAACAGCATGATGAAGCTGTACTCCCAAAAAATAAGGGTTGAAATTCATGGTGAGTATTTGTATTTTCAAAAGTCTTACTTATCTAATGATTTTTAGTATTCTGTCTGTTGCACATATATAGTGAGCAAAGCTACTTCTGTGGTATGGTTTTAATGGTGTAACTAACAGCCCTGTTAGAGCATGACTCAAGGTTTCAGTTGTGTTGTGTTAGAGAAAGTTGCTTATTTTTTATTTGGGGGATAGAAATATCCATGGAAGAACTCATAAACCTATGGATCTAATAATTGCATAGTTAACTCTACAGTCTTCTTTTTTTGACAGTTTAAATATAGTGTTAAAGCTTCTAACTTGATTTCCAAGTAGAATTGTAGCTAAATAGTCCTTTCAGTAAAACAAAATTAAATGTTTGGGGTTTTTTTTAGCTAGTGCCTTTTTCTCTGTATGCCTTAATTTGGTTCATGTTAGAACACCATATTGAAATATGTCATACAATTCCATGTCACCAAAGCAGTCTTAGAGAATGGGTTTTTTCAAAGTGCCCAAAGCAGAGCTTGTCTAACTGCATTGAAAAGTATGCTGGAGTTACAATCTGCAGCAGACATTCAAATTCAGAACTTGAAAGTGATTTTTGGCTTCCTGTGCTAATACACGTTTCGTATTTGTATTCTGGATATTGTACACCAGTGTACATGCCAGAAAGAGGATTTGTCTGCATGCACAGAAGTAACTGGATTGTCAGGATTTGGCTTCCTGGCTCCGGGTACCAGACTCTGCAGCAGAGTTTCTTACTGAGCTTGAAAGCAAAGTTGCTACATTTGTAAGTGTGGTACTATATTTAAAGCTGTTTACTTTCAATGCACAGGAATTTGATCTGTCCAAGCAAACAAACAGATTTCTTTCTTGTGCCTTTTGGATAATCCTAACCCTGCTGTTGTCTTGACTGAAAGCCTCGTAGACCCGTAGGTACAGTGCAGTACAGCAAGCCATTCTTTTGGACAGCATAGAGCTATGTCTAACTGCAGCTTCAGAGACTTGAGAAAATTGGTCAGATCTACAGTTATTTATAACCAATTTCTTACTTTTTTAATCTTGACAGACTGTGTCACGCATATAGAGAAGTATATAATGTGTGTGCTTGAATGTAAGTCCCTACGGTGTTTCTGGAAAAGCGAAAGTATTGCCGCCAGTGTCATTTCCTCCTGCTGGTAACTTGCTGTCTTGTGGCAATGCCAAGTCTGCAGTGTAGAATCACATACAATTACCAAAGCTTTTCTATCCCATATACATATAGCCAAAAGTGATGTTTCATGTCTCTTATAAATAGTGTGTATCCACCAGTAAGCTGTTGCTGGCTGAGTAAAGCAGGTACTAGTAAAAAGTGATAGACACTGCCCATATTTCAGACATGTGGGTGCTTATAGTTGCTGTTTGATATGCAAAACTCATGCTTGTATTAAAATGAAGAGTTTTCTTTTTAAAAGCTCTTTCTAATTTAATCTTACTGTTGTCATTCTAAAATTACTGCATAAGCTTGGTGTCTAAAACCTGGTGACTTCTGTAGCTGGGTTTGAGCCTTGGGACATGTGAGGAACACCGTGAAGATAAAATTGTGACCTGATCTGTTTTGTGCACCATAGTGAGAATGTTCCAAAGCTCTGGGAAGCAGTCAGTCCTCTTTATGTGACAGCCAGATGTCACCCACAGGTACTATGGTGTGGGTGCTGCCTTCAGGAGGAGCCACTAATGTGCACTGAGGGGTCAGACAGGTTTGCTATCAAGCCAGGGTTTCTGAATCAAAATCTGTGATCAGAAACAAAGGAGCTCCTTTCTCACTTGGTATCCCCCACTTGGCCCACACCATTTATTTTTCTTTCTAGCTGGCAAAGCTCAAGTCCTGCATAGGTGGTAGCCTGTGATAGCTCCTGAGTAAGGTGTCCAGCTTTAGACCAGGGAGCCCATCACTTGCACCCAGGATGCTGCAGCTCCCAGTTTGCTGGAGCAGTCCTTGGGTTTCCTCTAGCAATATATTTGTATACAGAGTAGAGAGATAGATGGGGTGGAGGAAATGATATTTCTCATGTTTCAGAGCAATCACATCTTGGCTAGGGCTTAGTTTTCAGAAACTTATTTGAAAGGGAGAAGACCTGGATTAAACGGCATAAAAATTGTATCTCATGGTTCAGCCCTTATGTTGAGTCCACAGGTACAGATTGGAGGTCAGGGTCTTCTTTTGAGAAATAAGGAAAAGGATACTCCAGCTCATGAGTGGATAGTCATAGGAAATACATCAGAGCTTTTTTGTGCTTTTTACCTGAAAACTAGATGATCCTTTTTCCCCAGAGGTTTATAAAATGTGGATATAAAAACAAGGATTGCATTTTCTTTTCTGAACAGCCATTAGATTGTCAGTTCCCTAGTATTTGTTTTTTGTTCATACCAGTAAAAGAAGGTGGTGTCACCCTAAAATTGGAATGGTTTATTAAAGCATAGTGTCTGTCATCTCAGACCTCACAGGGGTTGTATAATGGAGTATCACTGTAAATATGTGGAGGAGACTTAGATTAATTGGAACGTAGGCTTTTAGTTTTCATGAAGCTATGAATAAAAATTTGTAAATTTACTCTTGATCTAATGTACATTTTTATGTAGCCATTAAATTCTCTATTTAATCTATCGGTTTCTCACTGTAAATGTTTTTACTCTCAGTTGAATGCTGGGCACAGTTTGTAATGTATGTACACAAAGGTGTTTTTTTCTATCAACGTTGACTTTTTTGCACATTTTTGGAAATATTTAATTTGTACACTGATTTAATACTCTGACCAATTGTCGATGGGTGTATGAGAATCATGTGTGTGTGCAATGTACTACTGTCTGTATGTATGGGGTTTTTTATTACTTTTGAGATGTTGCTGCCAGTAACTGCACTGCTGTTGCTGCTTTACATGGAATATCTTGTGTATAAAAAAAGATAAAAACAATTTAAAAATTAGGTTATGGTTATCATGGTTGAGGAACTCAGGAGTTGGGCATTGCTTGCTAGTTCCGTTGTCTAACAACCTTCCAAACTTAAAAACAACCAACCAACCCCGCCTTGTAATTCTGTGTATGCATTGAATGTGTGTGTGTATATATCCCAGTAATCTTATTCCACAGTTTCATTTCTACATTTTTATGAACTTGTTTTTTAAGGGTACTATGTTTAGTTAGAATAATTAAATATATAAAAGCTTTGAGAGATGATTTACTAGATAAATATATTTTCAGCTGGCTGATGTTCAAAATATTTTTTTAATTTTTGTTTTTAACCATTCGAAATGTATTTGTATTTCCAAAATCAGACACGAATTGTACTTAGAAATATATTAAAACACTCTGTAGGGACAACAGTGTGATTTCTCTTTTAAGAATTCTGTACTTTAGAACACTGCGCAATGTCACTGTCGTATCTCAATTTCGCGTTGGCTTTTTTATTGTTATTTACGGTGCACTTTCCGCAAGTTCAATTTCTTTTATTAATATTTAATTATTTTTCCTCATTTCCCGCTGTTCCGGGCGTGGCCCGGGGTGTGGCTGCCCAGCGTATCCGAGGCCCCGCCCCGCGCCCGCCCGCGCGTCTCCCCGCGCGGGGGCAGCCCCGGGAACAGAGAGACGATGGTGTCTCCGCCCCTCGCGGCGCTGCCCTGCGGAAGTGACGCGCGGGCGGGCGCAGCGCGGCGCGCGGCGGCCATGGGCAGGAAGGAGCGGGGTGAGCGGGGCCGGGGAGCGGCGCGGGCCGGGCCGGGGAGGGGGGACCTGGGGCGGCTCAGTCACGGCTCCCGCTCTGCTCCCAGATAAGAAGAAGTCCAAGAAGCGCCATTACGATGACGACGAAGACGATGAGGACGAAGGTGCCGGGAAGGAGCCGCAGGAGGCGGTGCCGTCGGCGGCGGGGAAGCAGGTGGAGGAGAGCGGCACCAAGGTGGACGAGTACGGCGCCAAGGACTACCGGCTGCAGATGCCGCTGAAGGCCGACCACAGCTCGCGGCCCCTCTGGGTGGTGCGTGCGGGGGCGGCGGGGCCGCTGCCGCCGTGTGCCCCAGGGTGGGACGTGCCGGGGCCGGGATCGCTGCGGGACACGACAGGACCGGGCAGGGGGAGAAGCCGGGACTGCTGCGGGGTCAGGCGGGGAGCGCAGGGCGGAGAGCCTCGGGCGCGCCTGGAGCGGGGACAGGAGTCCTTGCAGCGCCCAGGGGATCGCTGCAGCCCCGGCGGTGCCCAGAGGATCGCTGCAGCCCCGGCGGTGCCCAGGGGATCGCTGCAGCCCCGGCAGCGCCCAGGGGATCGCTGCAGCCCCGGCAGTGCCCAGGAGATTGATCGCTGCAGCCCCTGCAGTGCCCAGGGGATCGCTGCAGCCCCGGCGGTGCCCAGGGGATCGCTGCAGCCCCGGCGGTGCTCAGGGGATCGCTGCAGCCCCGGCGGTGCTCAGGGGATCGCTGCAGCCCCGGCGGTGCTCAGGGGATTGATTGCTGCAGCCCCGGCGGTGCCCAGGGGATTGATCGCTGCAGCCCCGGCGGTGCCCAGGGGATTGGTCGCTGCAGCCCCGGCGGTGCTCAGGGGATTGATCGCTGCAGCCCCGGCGGTGCCCAGGGGATTGGTCGCTGCAGCCCCGGCGGTGCTCAGGGGATTGATCGCTGCAGCCCCGGCAGTGCCCAGGGGATTGATCGCTGCAGCCCCGGCAGCCTCCAGGCGGGGTCCGCGCTGGTCCGGGTGTGCTGGACCGGGCACAGCCGCAGCTCAGCCAGGCGTCTCGGGGAGGGCTGTAGAGCAGCACGTCGGCTGGTGACACGAGAGGGATCTGTCACTGCAGTGATACAGTAGCAGGGTTTGTGTGTTGCAGTGAAACGGCTTTAAGACGGGCTGGCCTCATCTTTGTAACTGATGCCGTTTGTTTTCTGTGCCCTTCGAAAGGGATGTCAGTAAACTTGCCAGTGTGCACCATCTAGGGCAGAGGTGGTTTCCGAGCCAACTTCTGCACGGTGCCTGTCACCAGGTGCTGTATAGGCACCTGGGGCTGTGACACCCAAATGCTGCCTTTCATTCATTAATTTATTCTGTGTAAAATGAGCAAGCAGTTTTTTTGTTCTAGGGGAATGGGGCTGGAAGCTTGCCTCTACTCAAGCAATTTCTGTAGCATTAAAAAAGAAGGAATACCCCAGCATGTC